GGGTCCAGGACGCAAACCACGGTTGACTACGTGGGAGTCCAGCGACACAGCCATTACACTAACTGCTGGTTCCCATCATCACACGTATTTTTAACCTGCATGTACCTACTGAAACACAGGAGGCAGAACATACCAAGCAAGTCAAACAGCTTCAATGGGGGATAACTAAACGCAGAAACTCCCCAGATTCACAGTGTACAATTGACAGGAGTTGTGTTACTGAAGAAACTACAACCACAACCAGGAGAGTGAAAATAAGCATTGTCCCCAAAGGATTCCTTTAACCCATCTTCCCCCCACCCCGGTGGATCCCCTCCCAGTGTCACCATGCATGTGCATTCTATCACTATATAGCAGTTAGCATTTTCGACGAGTTTATACACATGGAAACATACAGTGTGTACTAACTTGTCTGGCCTCTTCCTCCGCATAACCACTCTGTGATCCATCAATGCTGCTACAAGTGTGGACACTTCATTTATTTCCATTGCTGACTAGTATCACCCCATTATTTGAATGTACCACAGCGGGCTTACCATTTGTCCACTGAAGGACAATGGAGTTGCTTCCAGTTCCTGCTATTACGACGAACACCTATGCTATGAACCTTCACGGGCACGTCTTTGCGTGAACACATATTCCCTCTTTCCTTGGGTAAATGCCCAGGAGGGGGAATGCCTGGGTAGTATCAGAGCTGTGTATTTTACCTTCTAAGAAACTGCCAAACTGTTTTCCAGTGTGTTACCACTGTGCATACTTACCAGCTGTGTATGAGCATTCTAGTTACTCTAATCCTTACCAGCATCTGCTGGGGTCATTTCTCTAAGATACTGAGGGTCATTTTGTGTGCTTATTTGACATATAGTTATACATTGTGGTGAAGTATTTTATCAAACCTTTTGACCCTTTTTTTATTTGGCTGTTTGTTTTATTAAAAATGGGGGGTGGGGAATGTTTGGTGAGAGATTTTTGCTCTTGGGCACATGTGCTCGCCAGACTGACCAGACAGAAAGAAAGTAAAAAATCACTTCTGAGGGGGATGGCCACGCTACAATTCCTTCTCCTCTATTCTCCTCTTGGGATTTGGGGCACAAACACATACAACGTGAGTTTTAAGCCACCTAATCCAGGACTCAAACCGCGGCCGACTACGTGGGTCTCCAGCAACGTAACCATTATGCCATTTGTCGGTCCCATTACAATTATGTTTTGAGAGTTTTTTGTATACTCTACACATTATTCCTTTATACGATGTGTGATTTGAACACTTCCTCCAGTCTGTGATGGGCGTTTCCTTCTCTTCACAAAGCCTTTCAAAGAGAAGTTATTATCTA